ATATTAAAGATGTAGTGCGAAAAGCCTCAGGGGCTCACATTGGAGATATTCATATTATGAATGTCAGTGATTCACATTCTATTGCCATTACTTGCTTTGTTCCTATGAGTCTGATTGGATCTTTCATTGCTACTGTTCTTCAAAATATAAAACATTTTCAATCAAAAGGACTGAGGGAATTGTTATTGGATAACACAATTATTTGGGTAAGATACAATAGTTATTGCATTAATTTAATAGAAGTGAACAATTAGGAACTCAACGATGAGGGACAAAAATCTAGTACTGAGAATGGTGTGAAAAGTAAATAATTTTTTTAACTTATTAAATATTTTAATTTTAAAAATTAATTTCAGCTAAAAGCAAAAAATCAGAGCCGACTTATTCAAAAATTGAAGAAGTTAAAATAGAAGAAGATAAAGGTATAGGGAACTATTTATACTGTATTGTATTAATAGACACAATTAAAGAATTGAGGAAACAGTTACAAACTCAGTATAGAATTAGCAGAATGAAGGGACTAGAGATTGAAGATTTGAAAGCAAAAATTAGAAAGAAAGAGGAACAATTCTCAAGTGTGTGTAAAGATTTAAATGTTTATCATCAAAATTCATTTGAATTTACTAAAAATACAACAGATACTGAGAAAGAGTTAGCATCATTGAAGGAACTGTCAGAGACTAGACTACAAGAAATAGAACAACTGAAACTGAAACTTGAAGACAATAACAGCAAGAGTATGTATAATACATTAAATACAAATTAATTTAATATTTATTTTATTATAAGGATTACAAGTACCAGTTGAAGAGACATCAGAGATAATTAAAGATGAATCATCTGATGATGACACATCAAGTACATGAACAAATAAATGGATAATTATTATATTAATAATCATACAGGTAATAAAGACATTGTAATGAAATCTGATGATAAATCACTAACAGTAAATTGTGAGTTACACTATTCAAATTTGCTATTGTATATGCATTGTAATTGTAATGATACAACATAACCCACTGCATCATCAGTGTGTGTGTGTGTTTGTGTGTGTGTGTGTGCGTATGTCAGCAATAGTTTATAAGTTAATGGAACATTATAATTTCGCTTTATGTAAATGAATTACATGAATACCTGCATTAACTGACTAATTGTGTGTTTATTATTAGTACAAGAGGATGGAAAGGTGGTGTGGAGTCAGAGTAGTGTACAACTCATTAGACCATCAGTAGATCAATGTAAGGAGGTAATCAGTAAACTGAAGGAGAAACATAAGGGGATTACACTCCGATACTCATCATCTGATAGTATACAGGTCCTAATACCAACTGTATTGGAGAGAGGAACAATAAATCAACTTGCTATATACTACTCCTCATTATCATGTGATGATGTCCTCTCATTCTCTTCTCAACTATCAACCAACAAATCATTAACAAAACTAAACCTAATTCATGGTTCAATAAGTGCTGATGGAGTCATTGCACTAGCACAATCACTACAATATAATAAAACACTTCATTACTTATATCTTGTATATAATCCTGACATCACTTCAGCTTGTGCTCAGTCACTGGCTGAACTTTTACTCACTAACAACACACTCTTCCGACTTCATCTCCACCATACTAACATTGATACTGATGGAGTAATGATACTAATGGAATCACTCAAGACCAATAATACACTAAGGGAACTCTGGCTAGACAAACAACATGAAGAAACTTGTTCTACTTTACCTTATTTTGAGCATATTAAAGACAGATTGGATTTTGTAGAATTTTAAGAAAATATTATTTTTATATTAGATCCTACCTTATCATACTGTATAATATCTTTTTTTATATGCTGTTGTACTTTTATTTTTACAATTTTTATTTCCTTCATTTTATATTGAGCCCCGCCCTTTGTATTGAGGCTAACCACGCCCTGTTTCTGTAATGGCAACTTCTTTTTCTTCTTCTCCCCTATCATCTGAAGATATATTTAACAAACATTATCCACTCCTCTCTACCTCTCTCTGTGATCCTGTCAGTGTAACCAGACTATTGTATGGAGAACTAGTAATAACAGGACAGATACTAAGCAATGTTGAATCAGCTAGTCCCTCCATCAGTAAACAACGTGAGGAACTGCTAAAGGGACTGAGAGAGGTCCTTGTTGGTAATGACAACAACCTACAAACATTTGCTAGTGTATTGTGCAAGTTCACTGCTAATGTTAAACTAGGAGAAGCTATACACAAAGATTATGGTGAGTGTATTTATGTACTGTAGTAATGGAGTATTGACTGGTGGTATCACTGAACCTTTCTATGCATACAAAATGTCTC